ATCATTGCTTGATCTTTTTTCTTTATATAAATAAATGACCTTTGAAAAACATAGACAAAATACGTCATGACTTTTCTGACAACCCAATAGTTCCAACTCCCAAATCCTGAATCTATGGATGCGCTCACAGAATTATTCTGTGGTAGCTATGATTTCTGGGGTCTTCTCTGAGTTAATGAAATGCTCCCTGATATCACAGGGGTACAAGCTTAGGAGAAATAAACACCAAATAATGACACTATCCCACATTGCCCTTGCATTAGGAACTTTAAAAATGTAAGCATGAAAACAGTTCTTAGGTGTAGAAACATTGGTGAGAGCTAGTAGGCGGTGGCTGTAACTTCATGCTGTATGGCTCTAAGGACAGCACACTTTCTGCGTTGTAATGTGGACTCCTAGCACCAATCAAAGAATATTAGAAAATTGCAAAAACATAAGATACATATTAGCTATTAAAGATAATAAGACTGTGGAAAATAGCAGTATGTGTAAATGTGGACAGTCTGACAATTAAGTTTGTGACTTGTTGCAACAATGTTGCTAACCTTTTTTGATATCAGAGGGATTATTCATTATGAATTTGTACCAACTGGACAGTTTTCCAAGTTTACTATTTGGAAGTGCTGAAAAAGCTGCATGAAATAATTAGACCACCTGAACTTTTGTCCAACAATTCATGGCTCTTGCACCATGACAATGCACCAGCTCACACGGCACTGTCTGTGAGAGAGTTTTTAGCCAGTAAACAAAAAACTGTATCAGAACACTCTCCCTATTCACCTGATCTGGCCCCCAGTGACTTCTTTCTTTACCCAAAAATAAAGGCAATATTGAAAGGAAGACATTTTGATGACATTCAGGACATCAAGTGTAATACGTCAACAGCTCTGATGGCCATTCCAGAAAAAGAGTTCCCAAATTGCTTTGAAGGGTGGACTGGGCACTGGCATCGGTGCATAGCTTCCCAAGGGGAGTACTTCGAAGGTGACCATAGTGCTATTCAGCAATAAGGTATGTAGCACTTTTTCTAGGATGAGTTCGCAAACTTAATTACCTGACCTCATACATGATAAGTCAAATTCAAAGAGAACCCATGCTAATTAAAACTATAACAGATTGATTTAAATTATGATCAAAAGGGCATCAACGATGGAGAGACCTCTATATACATATTTCAAAGTATAATCATTTTTTAAAAATAGAAATATTCTATCTGTAGCCCATGTGCACATTGCCCTTGCACTACTCTTGGAGCTTGAAACCCATCCAAGTCATGCAACTCCCTTTGGCTGATACCACCTAAAAAAACACTAAGATCATGTTAATTTCCTTTATAATGTACAGAATTATTATTTTTAAAAAGGTAAGATGTGTGCCTAAGGAATAAAAAGAAGAGAACTTAGTAAGAAAAACTAAAAAAATCTGATACATATCTTTTCTCATTTTTTAGCAAACATATTTCTTAAGATACATAATAAGGTCATTTTCTAGGTTTTACTTAGAATTGACTGGCATATGCATATCCTTTGGGATTTGGTTTTTCTTTAGAATTCAATCTTCCCACAAGGAAATGAACTTTGCAAGAAGGTTATTGTAAAATAAATTGTATTGGGTGAGTTCTAATATTTACTGTACAGATGATTTTCATCCTACATATATTTTTATGATTTTCATAGAGTGAATAGGGAACTTAGTTCTACATTTTTTTGAAATTCTTTATATATCCACTATTGAAAAGCTTAAGTAAATATACATGTAAAGATTTATATTCAGTTTTGGGTTTCAATGAGTCCTGCTTTGTGGTTGTTTTATATTTCATTAAACAATCTATCAGGTCCTTAGTCTTTTCCTTTTCCCAGATTAACATAAAATTTGCACACACACACAAAATCTTCTCTATCATTTGGAATTCAAATAATGGGATACTGAGCATTACTCTTTTGTACCTGGAGGTTACAGACTAAATAGCTAAAAATCAGCAACCTGAAATCAGTAATATCCACCAGGAATGTGGACTGGGAGATTAAACCTGGGAGAACATAGATAAGACCATGGCTCCATCTATCAAGTCAAGTGGAAAAAAAAGAACAGGGAAAGGACAAAAAGTTCAATTGTTAATGTAGTTTTTCTATACTGAGATATTAAAGGAAGTCTTTTCCCAGTTCTAGTTGTCTCCTAGTTTTAAACACTCTTCAATATTTTTTGAAGATTTGTAAACAAGTCACAATAAATATAAACTCCATGAAGCTAGATACTCCCATTCATTTTAGTATCCTCAGCACTTTGTAAGTTCCTCTAATTTAGTAAACAGTAGGCAAGTAAGTTTTGAAAATAGAAATGAGTAAATAATCAATAGTAAAAAATCCAGATCCAATTCCATAAAATATTAAGTACAGAAAGATTATTAGCCTTATTTTAATGAACATTTCTAGAGGACATATTTACTACTATTTAAACAATGTCTATCTGTTTTATTTTAATGGATATTTAAGATAATATATTGCTAAAATATAAGATAAAATACTTGATAAATATTTTAATTAAAGTTATCAGAAAACCTTTACAATTAAAGGTAAATCTTCTTAATATATATTACTTTTAGAGATTATTTTGACTCACATTGATTCATAACTGAAATGAGTACTAAAATGAATTGTTACATTTTATGATGCATAATGATTAATATAACTATTACAAATTAATAAATTAAGACATCGCTTTTTGTTAAATGAACATGGATTTGGAATGTTTACTATAAAAATGTCAACTTCAATTTCTTTCAATTTTTTTAAATGATTATATATTTTCATAAGCAGCCATTAGACATACATGCCATTCCACAGTGTTGTCTTCTTTCCCAAGAATTAGCAGCTTGGTGAGCTGATTTCCCGCGAAGTCCGCATCACTGTCAGGAGATGAGTGTTCATACTGCAGCGGAAGCTCACTGCTTGACGTCGGAGGGTAGGACCGCTTCAGAGTCTGGTTGATGATCTCGTGATCGAGGGTCATGAAGGGTTTTACTTGCTGTCTCTGGACTTTCGGTAGCCGAGTCCTCGCAGGACTTTCCAGGTGTGCCGGGACCTATGAAATACAAACCAAAGAATTGCAATGTGTAGCTTCATTGGGTAAATCAGAGTTCTATTTTCAACAATTAAATTATGACAAGACACACACTGTAACATCTAGTTTCTCTCTAATTTATGGTCTATACTTCTGTCATAATTTACATAAGATATTAGTGGATTATAGTTCTTAAGAAGTAATTTAAACTACAAAAATATTTTAAATGCTAACCATGTTTTTAAGAATAGCCCTCAAAATTATGTGCAACTGAAACAAAATTTGGAATAAATATATAAACAGCAATACTTTTTGAGGGTCTAAAAAAGAAGGGCTGAAATAATACAAGGAAAATAGAGCTGATTAATTCCTATTAGTGATTTTTTATGTAATATATTTCTTTGATTCTTTTATATTACAAATGTAAATATTCCATGGGATGTAATCACAGCTGTCATTTAAAATATTTTTTTAATTATCCAGGAAGGAGCAGAAACTAGAAATATATGTATCAAATATTAAGTGTAGTACTTTATGGGTGGCGAAAATATACAAGATTTTTTTCATTTTTCTATATTTTCCAAAGTTTCTATAGTGAGCTTATTGCAATTTTTTTAAATCTTATTTTTAAACCCTCCCACATTCTCACTTTGTATTGACAATACTTTGATAGAGTCACCATGAATTGACAGAAAAAAAGACATTCAGAGAAAAATCTAACCAGTGTCACGTGCCAACCAAGCAACTTTCCAGGACTTTGAAATCCCATTTTCAAAACATAGACTTAAAACTCTGAGCATCTTCAGTCTAGCCATCATAAGTGACCACATACCATGATTTGTAAGAGGACAGTTTTAAGCATTTCAAGCTTTTCCTTTAAAAGCCTCTGAAAGGAGCCTCGCCTGCGAGCCTGGTTGATATTTACTGTGCTGTGGTGTGGCTCTAACACATTTTCCTCAAGTGGCCTATATATAAACCTATTTAATATTTCCCTCATGTTAAACAATGGTAAAGATTGTTTTACAGTGCTTATTTTCTCTTTTATTTCAGTTACACAAACTACTCTTTAAATCCCTTAACATGCATTAGCCCAGATAAATAGCCTTTATGAAATATTTTGCATTTAAATTAGCTGGTTTGGGTTGCAATATTGTAGTAGTTACTTTAGTTTAATTCTGTTATGCTGACATTTTTAGCATTATTTTAATTGTACTACTATAAAATAATTTTTCCATCATATAAAAAAGATTAAGATTGGTAATAAAGATTACACATAGTACTAATTATATTGCTATGAGCTCTGAAGCTGTAAAATAACATTTCATTGAAACGCCAGGAGTAATTTTTTTAGGGTAGCTGTTTAGATTATTTTGCAGTATTAAGTTAATTCTTCTTAATCTGTATACATTTACAAAATATACATTATAAATAGCATTTTCAGATTCAAATATCTAAATGATCTTTTACAGAATGTAACTGAATGCTAAAGAGCGGTGTATACCTACAAATTAAAATATCTCTTATTCTAAGAAGAGTATGTCAAATCAGAATTTACAACATTTATTAAGTAACTCATTTTCCACTTTTTATCCACTGACTCTAAAAGCCTTCATTAGAGTGCTTATTGCATCTTGTGTTACATCAGGAGTACAAGAGAAGCCATAGATGTGATCCCAGGGTCCTAGGAGGTTTTTATCTAATTGGACAGTATTAATATCAGCTACAACCAAAGCAACAATAATGATAATAATAAAATGCAAAAGGCACAGACACTGTGCTAAGCCATTTACACACATTATTTCATTTAATCCTTGTTACCACCTTAGGAGATGGATATCATTACTATCCCAGTTGCACCATAAAGATGAAGCCACTGAGTCTTAGAGAGGTTAAGTGACGTGCCTGTGATCCTCCTCTAGTCAGGGATGGAGCTGGAATACAGAGCCTGCCTTCCTAAACACCGTACATAAAATGCCACAAAAATTATTGGGTTTTAGAAACTAATTGGAAGGGAAAAATGGTTATAAATCAGGTGTTGGAAGAAGATGGCCCTGCACAGCAGGCAAGGGAGAGGAAATCTCAAATGCAAAAGATCAAAATGAAAGAACACAAAAAGTTGGGAGATAGTCACAGTTAGTTGTGAAAAGGAACTCACATGAATACTTTTCCTTTCTCAAAGTAAGACTACCATCTCCTGTTTAGACCATCCTATACAGAGACATATTAAAATATATAATGGAACTAACTCTAATTTTGCCTAAATTACTGGGTATTTATAGGGAATTCCAAAAGTTTAGCAGGCATAAGTGAAGACTGTCTCTACATAATGTGTAAACTAAGCATAAGTCTAAAAGCTTAGTGGAGCAGAGAAATACTCAATGGAATATGATTAAACTACTCTTTAGAAAACCTCCGTTTGTTTCCAATCATGGACTGATCAGAACAATGAGAAACTAAGTGGAAAACAATGGTTAAATCATGTGCAGCCAATTTTAAAATACTTTTAAATTGCCTGGGATTTGAAGACACAACCATAAAACTATCTATTGGATTTGCTTTACTGAAAGTCCCAGTATATATGGTGAGATGAAGTTAATGTATGAATGAAAGAGCCTTGAAGTACAGTGTGTGAGTCAATACGGTGACTGCAAGGGAGCCTTGGAATTCCCAAGAGGAGCAGATAAACCACAATCAGGACATGGGTCTTCACCTAGATGGCTGGATGGGGCAGCTGTAGACTGCGATGTGGTTCACTGAGCTGTCAAAGAGATTAAGACATCCAGGTGTAGGGACATTTTGCTATTGAAAACCGTAAGTAAATCATACGTCTGGAGCTCAGAATTATGTCCCAGCATTATCACTCTAACATGCTGCAACTAGAAGCTGAAAATAAAGATCTGTTTAAGTCCAAAGTTTTGTGTATGTGCAGAAATCTGTTTAATTTCACTTCAATAATTTATTAACTTATATTATAGTCTCCCTGTTTTTCAAAACATAAATAAATATGAGGTGTGAAGGGGGAGAGAAGTATTTACATAAAAAAATGTAGACTGAAGACTAACATTGTAATCAAGTACAAAATTTACCCGAGAACATCCTGGCAACCAAGGAAAAAAGAAAAAAAAATTAGGTGTAACATTGTGAAAGTGTAGATATTTGACCATTTTTCATCTATAAAATGTCAGTTCCATCTGATTTAATCTAATATATATTTCTTATTAATTAAATCATACCATTTCTAAGGAGACACACATATTTTTAAGAATAGTATCTGAGAATTTATAAACTCGATTTTTTTCATGGAGGGCCAGAGTGATATATTGAACAAAATTTCAATAGCAGCTTTTGCAAAATATGGAGTGAAAATCTTCACATGCCCCTATTTAAAAAAATATATATTTATTGTCTAAAGTTGGGTCATCCAGGAAACATACTCTGAGACTGCCCATGGAGATTTATTGGTGTGCTGTCGGAACCTCAGCCACAGTCGGGTGAAGAAAACAGGTTCAGGCAGAGAAGCTCAGTCAGGAGGGGATAACACAAGCCATGCGCTGTAACATCCACTATATTCACTCTTGATCAAGGGCCCAAAGAATAATGCAAATCAGCTCAAGTGGAAAGCCCAAATATATAACTGACTGACCTTTAAGACAACACTTAGAGTGGGCAGAGCAGTGTTTTCCAAACCAATTTACACAGCAGATTCCATATTTGGATACACTAACCCAAAAGTTCACCCAGTTAGATCATTATCCAACTATCAATTGTCTCACTAGAGGCAGTAGATAGAAATTACGTGGTTTAAAAAAACATTCCATTATATGGAGTTACAAAAATAAAAACTTAGATTAAAAAGCCTAATTAAAAAGGCGTTTCACATGTGGTTAAATTCCCATATTCTAATAAAGAGATGTGGGTCTTAAAAATTAGAAATATGTGTATTGGTGAACTATAAAAATGCTTAGATCCATTCATAAGAGAACCAGGACAACGTGCTTACTGCGTAATCTGAGGTATTTTTAAAAACACAAAAATCACACAAACTTCTCCAAGTACAAGGAGCTAAGGGGAAGGAGTTGTGGGCAGGAAGAAAAATATTCTCCTGGCTGCAGAAAACAATCACTGGGAAATTACATTCATAAATACAAAATGTATGTATCTGTGGGTTTTATTTTTTCCTTTTCTCCTTTTTCTATTCCTGTTTTTAGACGAGAGTAGATGCAGGAATTCTGCCTTTTGAGAGAATTGATAGAGATCCATGAGAAAGCAGCCCAGTGCCACAGAAACAAGTCAGTTCTCAGTCTCTGACAATAGCAGTTGAAATAACAGGTGATCATCTAGGGTATCTGCTAATCTGATCAGTTTTTTTTGTTTGTTTTTTAAATCCCAGAGTTTAGACCATTGTTGGAATGTTTCAACTCTTTAAATTAGCAAATATTTAATTCGGCATGAATTAAGACTAACAAAATGTTATGTGGTCCTATTTGCATTTGGATTTAAAATCTCCTGGTAGGAAGAAGGCTGAGGGAGTCATGAAATGTAATGTAATGTGCATCAGCCAAGCATTGCTACCTGGAAAGACTCCCAGTGTCCCTATGTAGAGTTACTCTTATTTTCACACAGTGGTTTTCAAATTTTCACACAGTGGTTTTCAAACTATACTCCTAGATACATGAGTTCATTTCTTCAATTTACTTTTCAGTGTTTACACTGTAGTCTTTTCACCTAATTCTTATTTGGTTTTCACATTCAATTCAGTGGATAACAATAGGGAGAGTATATTATACAAGGACGTTTTAGAAACAAATGGACAGTTGTACTAAAAAATCTTTGAAGGACTCCGCCAACCCTGTGATTCTCTGTGTATAAGGTTGTACATATCATATGCACTACTTGTATTATATTTCCTTAAATATTTTTATATATTCATATTTATGCAGGCATATATATTTTTTAGCTTCTTTAAAAATGCTACATTTTTATTTAAAAAGTATAAGATAATGGTAAAAGCCTTCAACTAATTCTTCAGCATTCACTCGGCAAACATTTAATGAGCGTTTGCTCTTTGTTAAAGCCAGTCTCAAGGGAAAGTCATTCCTCTCCAGAAAGCAGGTCTGTGACCCATATGTCATCATCCACCTGGAGACCACTTATCTAAACTGAGGGCATGGAACCTGGGAGGAGATGAAACACCTTCTTGGTACTAGCCTTTTGAAACTCAGAATGAAAAAGTGATGGCAAACATCACACAAGCAATTATCTCAATAACAAGACTTTTTATCACCATTAATTTGACTAGCCAAACAAATTAATCAGTCAAACATGGGCACCTAACTAACAAGCATGTTTAGACTATCTATAAGGACAGAAACAGGAATATATTCAATCAGAAATAAATTTCTTCTAAATATATTACCAGGTGATAGTAAATAAAAATATATATACACTGTCACCAAACACACACATACATATGCACACACATCATACACACACACACACACACACACACACACACACATCAAAAAGCAAGACAGATAATCCCATTCGCTATGACAGTCCTTATTTAATTTTCCTAATTTTGTATTAAGCTTGAATTTAATAAATGAATTGAAAGCTTAGACTTCACTAGTGAATAATAGGTAACTATTAATTATGTTCTTAGTATCAGAGGTGTATATCAGAGGAAATCTATTTTGGGGGGCTTATGAATCTACTACCTCCTAGGTATCTACTCATAAAAACCATATGACATTTGTTAATGTTCTGTAGTAAAGATTAATAACTCATTTCTTCAAGTCTTACTTTCTTCACAGCAGCCTTTGGATGTGATATACCCATAAATCTCATCTTGACTAAACCTAAAATTATATAGTCGAGCTTGTCTGATTGAGATATTAACTACTGAACAAAGTCGGGCCCAGTTCATCAAAAGTTTTACTTAGGTTTCTGAATAACTGTCAGCATATTTCAGCTGAGCATTATATAATCCAAAGCTATTTGATGGATAATAATATAAAATGTGATTGTAACATATTCGTTCAGTCCCAATCATTTGAATTTGGATAATTCCAGTGGTGTGTCTTTGAAGGGAGACCCACACATAAAAGGCTTTAAAGAGGCATGGATATTATTCTTCAGAGTTTTCCTAATTCAATAGTGTTCTAGCAGTAAAAATGCTTGCACTCCACAAACATTCGTATCTGTACATAAGATTCCTTAACATTTTCTTACAATTAACCCAGTTCCATCATCGACTGTATTGATTGGCTTTGTTTATGTTAGTATCTCATTAAAATTACCATTTTGTACCTTTAGAGAACTAGATAAACCAGCAATAACTGTGGTTTATTGAATCTGATATTTTTTAAGAGTGTGTATATTTGGAATTTTTGAGCCATAAACATCAATTAAGCCGCTTCATGTTGGCTTCAAAACAGCGCAACAGCCACGCACACACTGAAGTCAACTGGCAACATCATCAATGACCGAAATAAGTTAATATGAAACATGCAGAAAACTTAAGCCACAATCTGTTCAAATATATCTGACATTGTGTTCACAGGTTTAGCACTCATTAATTCTATAAATATTTTTGAGTGTCTTTCACATACCAGGTTTTATGGTACTGTAATAAGCTCTGGAGATAAAATGATGAACAAAATAGACATAACCCAGTCTTCATAGAGTTCACAGTCTATTAGGAGAGACAGATAATTAAACATATCATTATAACACAATGGAATAAACCCTATGAAAGTAAAATATGTCACAAAATCAAGCAGAAAGACCTAGATGAAATGTGAACAAATCATTGAAATGACAGTCAGTTTCTGCTGCTAATCTCACTGATTCCTTCATTTAACAGCATATGTGTGCCTATATCTACTGGCCACTTGGGTGGGTAATAAGGTGAGCAAAATCCCTCTCCTCACATGGCTAGCTCATGCAGAGGTGAAAGAGACAGAATTTAATCAAATGATCACACCAATGACGACATTTTCAAGCGCCCAAAGAATCGGAAGAAGAGATACCCATGAGTATGAGCATGTAGAAAGACTATCTAGATCTAAGTTAGGGGTAGCTTCTCTGAGGAAGGGATGATAGAGCCGACGCTGGAGGATGATAGGAAGTAACTAGAGGAAGATGGAGAAAAAGCATTCCAGGGAGATCGAACAGTGTGTGCAATGACCCCGGTGGGAGGAAGCAAGAGGAGAAAAATGCACTGAAAGGAGGTGATGGAGCTGCAGCAGAGATGTTATGGTGTGCGATGATGCCGGCGTGGCCAGTAGAAGTGGTCCATGCAATCCTTTAGGAATATAAAGGTGTCTTACTTCCTTTATCACAAGAAAGAAACACAGTAGTTCGGTTGGAAGAATTCTGAAGGGGTGAATGAGAGAGTCCAGGAGAGAAACAGGGATGCTTGAGCTATGATCATGCGATCAGGGTAAGGTGGTCACATGATAACAAGTACCTGGATTCAAGGGATATTAGAAATAGATTTAGAAATGACAACTGACATTCTGGCTTAAGTGACTGAATGGATAGTGACTACTGTGGTGAAGGGGCAGAGAATCATAAGATTGGTTTTGAACACATTGCATTTGTGATGTTCTGAAGGGGTCCAAGAGGTATGTAAAGTAGGCAGCTGGATGTATGGGTTTGGAATTCCAAAGAAAAGAATCAGCTGTGGATAAAATTTACATGACATCTATACTGAGGTGATAGCTGACAAAATGATGGTTGGAGGATGCACAGAATTACGAGGAGAGGGCCTGGAACTGAACGTAGTAGATAGACTCCCACATTTTATTTACACATAAAGAGATCTATTCTGATCTTAAACTATATTTCCCCTAGTTTCCATTGATTTTTTTCACACATTTTACAAAACACTTAGTTGAAGTTTGTGTGTGTTACATTGCTGGGTAAATTTTCCTTATTTAAATAGTTATTGTTTTGCACTGTTTCTAAAATTATTCATTAATCTCTTTGATATAGATAATGCATTATTTTCCTAGTCCAACTGCATTGCAACTGTCATATTATCAGTCCTCAACCTCTTAACTGCAATTCCAAAATCCAAACAGCTCTGAAAATCAAAATTAAAAAAAAAAAAATTGGTGCATACCCATTTGGTGGCAAAATCAGATCTAAAATGCAGTAAGCCTATTTATAGTCTTTCTTTATTCCACTTATAGTAGATATCCATATGCATTGCTGCAGATATATTAATGTATTTGATTATGGGATGCTGTATTTGGCCCCTCTGGGAGAGTGGGTATCAAGGAATAAATAATATATGTATATATTACCTTTCAAAATCAGAAATATTGAGAATTTTGAAACACATCTAGCCCTAGGATTTTGAATAATAGATTTTGTACTGCTTCTATTTATTGGGTGAACAGAATGTAGAAAGGACTATGCTATATGCTTTGCATATATTATCTTATTTAACCTTACAATATCGTGCATAAAAACTCAAATAGGCCTTCACAATTAGTTTTTAAAACATCAGCACAATATTTAATTGCTTTTTATTTTCAGAAATTACATAATGTATCAAAGATTTCAATTTAAATTGAGCTATGTTATCTCTTGATAAACCTATAAAGAAATGATGAGATGAAGATATGTCCTTTCAAATTCAACAAACCAATTCAGTGAATTAAAGATGTATGCGTGCTAAGAATAAGTTGTCCAGGTATAACATTATATTTTGATATTAGTAGGCATATTTATATTTAGTGCTTATAGCTATATTTAAATAAATTAATACTTCACTTTATCTGCTTTTTAGAAGTTTTACATACAATTCAATTGCTTTCTGTAAGTATGGAAATATACAAGTTAATTACTTAAGCTAGATTCAATACAGTGTCTTAAATTTTAGAAAAAAAATGTTTTTCTGACTACATTAATGTTTAAACATTAATATTTATTAGGAAGACTTTTATAAAGCAAAAGACATTTTGCTTCAGAAATCAACAATTGTGTTTAGCTGATGCTTTACACTTCACAGCTACTTTCAACTTAAAACAAAGCTCTCATGTAATGCTTAAATGCATTGTTTTTCATCCTCAGTATAGTGACCTTTTGATACCATTTTTATTATGAAGTTGTGAGTGTTCTTTCAAGGATGCATAGAAGAAAAGAAAAACAAGAATGACTTCTTTAAAAGGTCATATTTCAAATACCTTGGAAAGTCATCAATGCGTTTTGTTTTGTTTTAATTTACATGTTCCAAAGCCATAAATAAGAAGATCTGGGATAAAAATCCAAACTACCTAAAATACTTGCCATCCCTTGTATCATTCTGTTACAAATATATTATATTTCTCATTTTTAATTATTTCTTAATGCTTAGATTTTGTACAATATCAATATATGATCAACATATGCTGACCTTATAAAAGAAATGGACTGGCCACTTAATGTAGTTGAATTTATAACAAAGAAATTTATACAGTAAGAATAAAAAGATCATAAATGTTTATTCCTGAAGAATATCTAAACAATTCAGGTTTTATACTATCTCAGACGTAAAAACCTTTAAAATCTTTTATCTACTTTATGAGTTGATATATGATCATCAATTAATGAAGTCATTTTTATCATAATAAAATGTCATCATTAGAACTGCAGTATTCTAGTCTAACCATTTTCTAAAGAATATGATTGGGGCATTTTAGATAGTTAAATATTAAAATAATCTAGCTGAAAATGAGATTTTGAAATTATTCATTTTGACTGACAAACTGAAGAAACTAGCTTTATTTCATAAGTACATTTCTATCACTCAATTTTTGTAGATATTACTAGCATTTCTCTGGAGAAAAAAAGGTAAAATTTACATTGTCTTTGTTTTATTATACTTAACTAATAATTATCATTATTTGGGGCTCTCTATGTTATAAATATACCTGTTATTACATTACCTACATTAGTCAAACCCTTCAAGTAATCAGGCCTTGTGGTAGGAAAGGCCTTCAGTTATACACTTACTGTAGTTTCACCTTCCCCTTGTCACTAAAGAACAATGTTCTTTTAGAATCAAAGAAACATACTTCTGTTTTAAATTTTTTATGGTTATAGAAAGTACATAACCATGAAACATTAATTCATCAAGGAGACTGATCCCAGGACCAGATGGACTAGTTGAAGGATCAGAATGCAAAGTAATAGTAGCCACAGTCATGAGTTGAATCAAACAGTCCAATGATTTCAGTAAGGACTTTTATCCTCATTTTGTAGATGAAGAAACGAAAGCTCAAACAGATTATCAGACTTGCTCATAATCCCACAGGCAAGAAAGTGAACTTGACTTCTCTTTTGATTGCAAGTAGGTTCAACTGCAAGTTATTTATTATCAGCTCACAAGGATAATAAGATTTAACTCCAGCCCCTACTGTTAGAAAAAACATGAGTCCTATATCTTAATACAAATATGAACCAACTGACTGCTGTCTGCTAGAAAAACCTTTGGAGCTGTTTCCCCACTCCTAATAGAGATTGACTTGATTCACTTACGATTTTGTTTTTGTTTTGTGTTTCACATCTGTTTTGTAACCATCACATGCTGCAAGATCTGGATTCTGCTTACAGCATGGGACAACGCTATAACAGAAACCTGCCCTCAGAAAATATTAACTCTAGATGAGTCTTTCTTTAAGGTGCTTTGTTCCTCTTCAGTCTCTAGATCTATGCATTAAATGTACACTATTCTGCAGAGTCCTAACCCTCTTCCCCAGGAGAAATGTTAGTTTCATTGTAGCATCTTTACTGTTGCCTTAATGTTTCTTTCCTAAAACCCTCTAACTCCTTTTCACAAGAGAGAAAGGGTGGATGGGGAGGGAGAGGAGTGGGGAAGACAGAAAATATTCTTTTCAGCTTGGCTTGTTCTACATAAACATCATGACTATTCTATTTGGTAATTTTTAACTTCTTTCTCTGAGGGATAAATTTAAGAAATGAACAAATGCATATAAAAAGCTGGCAACAATTGAAGTAACAGAAAAATTCTGTGTAAGATCTTTCTTTTGTGTCAATCACTTTTGAGAAATAAGGAAAAAATCAATATGCCTATTCATACTGTTCTTTTGGAATATGTGGAAAGTATTTTACTATAACTTCAGAGGTGAAGATCCAGGATTCTATTTTCCATATTATCTGAGTTGACTAGCCAATTAAAATAAAACTTTTTCATTGAAGACTAAAAGGAGAACACAAAAATATATTAGAAAATGTATTGTTTTAGCCTTTTTAACTTTTACCAATTATTTATAATTATTTGGTGGTAGGTAAAATAATGCCTCACTCACCAAAGATGTCCACATCTTAATCCCCAGAAACTGTGGCTATGTCAGCATACATTACAAAAGGGACTTTGTGGGTGTGATTAGATTAAGGCATTTGAGATGGGAAATTATCTTGGATTATCTAGATGGGTCCATTGTAATCTCAGGGAAGAGTCCTTAGAAGAGGAAGACAGGAGGGTCAGAATCAAACAGAAGGAGATATGACTAAGGAATCAGATGTCACAGTGACGGATGTTGAGCCAAAGAATACAGGCAGCCTCAGAAGCTGGAAAAGGCAAGGAAACATATTATCCCCCAGAACCTCCAGAAAGAAACTAAACCCTGCTGACGCCTGGATTTTAGCCCAGCAAAAATGATTTCAGATTGTCCTCTAGAA